GTGAAATTGAGAACATCTCTCCTATCCAACTTATAAAACCAAAGAACATCGAAGGATTTAATGGAGTTGCAGCACCTACAGTTACGCATGCTATATACCCTCGACTGCAAATTGGAGATCACGTTGAAAGTCTATGCCCTCTATTCATTACTACTCTTGGGAAACATTCTATCATTCTTGGGAAAGCTTGGATGAAGCAGCATGGAGTCACACTCAATATGGTAAATGACCAAGTCATCTTTACAAAGGGTCACTGCCAGCACACTACACCAACAGACACTTTAAAAGTGAAAAGTACAAGTCCCCAAGCTGAGAAGGAAATACAAGATAAAGAAGCTCTGAAGCCAGCCCTCCAACCTCATTATAAGAACAAGAACAAATGCACTGTTACAATGATTGGAGCTGCAACATTCAATATGCTTCGGAAGCAGAAAGGAGCTAAGGTTTTTGCAGTATCATTTAAAGATATACTCGCTGAACAAGCAAAGGAGGAAACGAAAGAAATCGACCACTGATCCTCCCAAAGGAGTTCCATAAATATCTCGATGTGTTCTCAAAACAGGCTGCAGACAAGCTCCCGCCTCACAGATATGCAGACCATCACATTGTGTTAGAAGGGAACTCAAAACTAGGGCATGCACCACTCTATAACATGTCTCGAGAAGAGCTTGATCTTGTGAAGAAATACGTGGAGGACAATCTTACCAAAGGATTCATCGAAGCTAGCAAAGCACCATTTGCCTCACCTGTGTTATTTGTACGCAAACCAGGAGGTGGACTTCGATTTTGCATAGACTATCACAAACTAAATGCGATCACAAGGAAAGACTCATACCCACTTCCCCTCATTGATGAAACATTGGCTCAAATCACAGATGCCAAATATCTTACAAAGATTGATATTAGACATGCCTTTAATCGAATTCGCATGCAGACAGAGGAGGACGAAGATCTGACAACATTCAAAACTCGATTTGGATCATACAAATACGAAGTTCTCCCATTTGGACTTATGAATGGCCCAGCAACATTCCAACGATATATGAATGAAACATTAATGGAATACATAAACAAATTTGTCACTGCATACATGGACGATCTTCTTGTCTATAGCACAAGTAAGGAGGAACATGTTAAGCATGTCAAAATGGTTCTACAAAAGCTTTGAGAAGCAGGACTACAAGCAGATGTAGCAAAATGCGAATTCTTCGTTCAAGAGACAAAATTCTTAGGACTCATCATTGGAGTTAATGGAATTCGCATGGATCCTGGAAAGGTGAACACTATACTCGATTGGAAAGCACCAAAATCATTACGGGACACACAAGCTTTTATCGGATTCTGTGTGTTCTATTGAAGGTTTATCAAGAACTATTCAAACATCATGAAACCACTCGTCAACTTGACGAAAAAAGACCATGTCTTCGAATGGACAGAAGCATGTCAGGAAGCATTCACACTTCTGAAAAAGACTGTCACAGAAGCCCCAGTCTTACGACATTTTGATAGAGAGAAGACAGCCTATGTTGAAGCTGATGCCTCAGATTTTATTTCCTCAGGGGTACTGTCACAGAAAGATGACAAGGGAATCCTACATCCAGTTGCATTCTTCTCGAAAAAGATGGCACCTGCAGAATGCAATTATGAAATCTACGACAAGGAGTTACTCACCATCATCAGATGCTTCGAAGCATGGAGACCAGAAGTCGAGGGCACAGCAATGCCAGTCCAAGTTTGTCAGATCACAAGAGTCTTGAATACTTCATGACAACAAAGAAGCTTACTCGAAGGCAAGCTCGATGGGCTGAGTTTCTGTCAAGGTATTCAAGATGACCTGGGAAACAGAACGGAAAAGAAGATGCATTAACTCGAAGACCAGGAGATAGACCAGAAGGGAACGAAGAAGATGACCGCCAAAAACAACAACTTCAAACCCTGCTACCACTCAAGAGACTCCATCCAGACCTCCAAGAGATAAGGAAATTCGAAGATGCTAAGGTGAATCAAGACATCCAACTCGCGCCAGTCCACCTACAGGAAGCAAGTATTCTAGACAAAATCCAAACTGCGCAACACATGACCACATAGCATATCTCTACAACCCTTTATGATTCATTACATGACATCACTCCTTAGTTACTGGGCTAATACTACACATGACATATCTCTAACAACTACAGGCCTAGGAACATGAACGATAGCTCCAAAAGCTTCTACAACCCTCTATGATTCATTACACGCCATCGCTCCTTAGTTACCACAAGATTGATTAAGTTATGACATAATTTGTCTATAGGGGTACTCTGACCTTGGACCTCCTTTCACTTCCTATAGGCTAGGAACCTAGGAGATGGTTCTATGGGATTCTCTTACGTCGACTACAGTTACCAAGCCTGGTTAGTCATGGAAAGTCTTGGAAAATGAGAGAACTACACTCCTTTGGCATAAATAGGATTGCCCTTTCCTTAAGAAAGGGCAAGCAGACAATACAGTAAATCGACTATCACATACTTCCACGTCTTTTCCAAGCTTCCAAGCATTGATCTTGTTACTCCTTGTTTCTGAAAAGTCAGTGAGGTGTTAACCTCTGACTTACCCCTGAGTTCCCAGACTCAACATTTGTTGCAACTTGTCTGAACCACTTCACTACATCACACACCTGATTGCTGATCATCGAAGTCGCGCCCCGTTTTGTTGGAGAGTAGGCCGTGGGCGCTGGGATACGGTGGTATTTGGCCCTATAATCCACTACGGCATCCCAGGATCTCCGACCGGTGCTGGAAACCACCACAGTCTCAACTGGGGTTTCAGCTCTGAAGCCACCAGAATAGGGGGCTTTTGGGGGGTCGAAGCAGAACCTCCGAAAGGCCTACAAATAGCCACGTAGGCCCATTAGATAGTGTAGTTAATCAATCGCTCTTATTTTGCTATAGTAAGCTATATACTGTGTGAGAACTCCTGCCCCGTTGCACCCGTGAGAAGTCCTGTGTGATTTTCCGAGCGCGAACCAAACTTGTAGAATTCAATGGGGCCACGGCCTTTACTTATGCCGTCGCCCCTAAGTGTTACGACGGAACAAGAAGGCTGGCCAACTACAGGACAGGAAGGAGGGAGGTCGCATGAGACCGGCCCTGGTACCTGGAGGGGCAGCGGGAAATAGTAGTTCCGAAAGTATCACGTGACGGACTCGCAGGATGATGAGAAGAGTCCTAAGAGTCCAGGACTCCGAGGACTCGAGTGAGTTCCCAGGAGTCCACTAGGCACGTGACGGACTCGCAGGATGATGAGAAGAGTCCTAAGAGTCCAGGACTCCGAGGACTCGAGTGAGTTCCCAAGAGTCCACTAGGCACGACGCCACTATATAAGTAGATAGTATTTCCTTAGATAGGAGCTTCGTGCTCAACTCAATACAGTATTTGTTATATACTAGTAACGTGTTACTTGAAGCCTTTGTGTCTGATCCCCTGCCTCCTCTGATAAGTAAACCTTTACGCAAGAGAACCTCTGTGTCTTCTATCATTTAGAAGTCAGCGTTACACTAAGCTACTCTACCGTACGAAACTACACTAATATGACTACGTTTCACTAAATGTAGTTGCCTGATTCTGCCTGATTCCTAGGGCCAGAATCACATCTCCCCCGACTTTGAGAAAAACAGGTCACCTGACCTCCTTTATTCACTCCCTATTTTCCAGCATAAGAGCCTCACTTCTACCCGCCTTTCTTCTTCTTTTCTGCTTTCTTTTCCATCACTCGTACGAACTGTCTTCGCACAAAGACAGCACCCACCACCATCCTCCTCCCAACTTCTCTTTTCTTCTTGTGGAAGATGTCTTCTTCGGTCGACTTCCGTGCGGGAAGCACTGCGTCGGGCGGGCTGGGTGGTGGTGACGGTCGACGTCGTGGTGGTCAGGGTGGTGGGCGTGGCCGTGGAGGCCGTGGTGGCAAGGGCCACTACACACCAAAGGTATGTGTGATTTCCCATTTCTGTAATGGTGGGTGCACCAGATATGAGAATCTAGCCACCCAAGGAAGGGATGAATTTACTAAGACAACACACTGTCTTAGGAAACAGAGCCAAAGGGTTGTAGCTTAGACTATTCCACAACGCAGCAATCAGGTGTATGATGTGGTGAAGTGGTTTAGACAAGTTGCAACAAATGTTGAGTCTGAGAACTCAGGGGTAAGTCAGAGGTTAGCACCTCACTGACTTTTCAAAAACAGAGAATAACAAGATCAATGCTTGGAAGCTTGGAAAAGACGTAGAAGTATGTGCTAGTCGATTTACTGTATTGCCTGCTTGCCCTTTCTTAAGGAAAGGGCAATCCTATTTATGCCAAAGGAGTGTAGTTCTCTCATTTTCCATGACTTTCCATGACTAACCAGGCTTGGTAAATGTATTAGAAATCAAGTGCGACCCACAACTAGCTTGCTAATCATGTAGTGAACGTAAGAGAATCCCATAGAACCATCTCTTGGGTTCCTAGCCTATAGGAAGTGAAAAGGAGGTCCAAGGTCAGAGTACCTATAGACAAATTATGTCATAACTTAACCAATCTTGTGGGTAACTAAGGAGCGATGACGTGTAATGAATCATAGAGGGTTGTAGAAGCTTCTAGAGCTATCGTTCATGTTCCTAGGCCTCTAGTTGGTAGAGATATGCCATGTGGTAGTATTGGCCCACCCCCTTAAGGAGGAGATTTTCTTAATAACTTGTTCAATGAGTGTCCAAATGATATGCCGTGATGTATGTAGCATAAACAGATGTAGTAGAAGAGTTTGCAGCAATCATTGAGTAGTATTGCTTCTGTTGTTGGTGTGATAAGCCAAGATATGTATGGTGACTTGTAGGTTTGAGGAGGAGATTTCTAAGTTTGCTCTTGAGTTTGATAGCAAACTGAGTGCAACGAATGTCAGTATGACAATTTCGTTCGGAGTTCTCACTTTCGTCTCGTTCGGAGCTGATATTCTCACAGGGCGACTTCGTCACGAGCACCACGATGGCGATCGAGGCAAAGAAGACTGCCACCGCTGACGTGCAACACGTCATGGCCGAGTTCCCCGTCCGGCGCCAGATCGTCTGGCGTAAGAACCGAGAGACCGATCTCTCGAAGCATGGTTCGTACGGCATTGCCGTGGAGGTGCAGGCGCGTGGCAACGACAATGCCACACCTTGCAACTCTTGCGCTCGTGGCGCTGGTCCGTTCGAGACTGGCTGTGTCTCCTTCTCCTCCGGCTATGGGCCGGGAAACAAGGTTCCGTTCGGTGGCGCATGCGCCAACTGCTTCTGGGGTGGCCAGGGCGGTCGCTGCACTTTGCGCGTTGGTGGTGGTAAGTTCCCTTCCTCCTTCTCCCTTCTCCTGTCCCGTACTGACCTGTGGGAGCCCGCACCCGTGTTCGTTCGGGATCCTTGTATCAAGACAAGGCCCGTACGAACACCCATCTCGGGTCAGGTTTCGACCTGAACACCACCGACGGTGTGCGGGATGCTCTGGCGGAGCTTCGTGGGATGGAGCGTGCCCTCTCTGCGCGTGGCAGGGCTTTGGAGGGGGGTGCGACAGTGGAGGATGTTTTGTCCGAGGACGACGTGGAGAGTGAGGGTGAGGGTGAGGGGTCGACTTGGGAGGGATTCGAGTAGATAGCTTCATACGAGACAACAATACGATGATTTCCCTCTGCTTTTTCTCTGCTTTCTTGTGACAAATGAAATATGTATAGAGAATTGAGCACCTTCTTCTTTGGGGCTTTCCGTAAAGAGTAGTTCGTACGAGTATCCCGAGCGAACTTCGTACGGGACTTCTCATTCCTGTTTTTAAGAGGGGCAAGGCCTACCCTCTGTTGCTCTTCGTTTGAGCTTTCCTCTGTGTTACCAACACCAGATGGGCTTCCGTCTGAATACTGGACTGCAATTCCAGACTCTTCGTTCGGACTCTCTTGAGATAGGGGTTGCAAGTCCCTACTCTCAAGATCAATATAGGAGGCAGTTGTGACTGCAACTGGCAGCTCCTGTGCGGGTGTACGCATTTCCTGACTCTTCTGTACAGTCCTTTCGCTCGTCACAATAGCAGGTTCGTTCGAGGGGGCTCTAGGCTGCCTTTCGTTCGAAGGTACGTCTACCTGTATTTGCGTATTTGACTGAGGGATCACCGTAGGACCCTGTAACTGAGTATCTACACTTCGAACGATCGTTTCCGAAGGTATTTGTTGGGGGGTAATAGTATCATCTCGTTCTTCTGCTTGTGCCTCTTTTTCTTCTCTCCGTTTGAGAGCGAGGACTCTAGCCTTAAGCTTCTTGAAAATAGCCTCTTCGTACGAGATATCACCTATTTTTCCCTCCCCTAACTTGCTTGAATCTAGTCCTCTAGATTGTAGATTCAGCCATTCACGCTTAGTGATCATAGCCAGTTCCTTATAAGAATATCCTAGAACGCCTTCTTGCTCTAGGAGTTCTCTAACTTCGTCCGAAGGTGATATGAGTTCAAACTTCGAACGGATAGTGTCTAGATTAAAACTAGAACTCCACTGTCCAGTTTCCTTATTAACTGCTAGGTCGTTCAAAGGTAATAGCCGGTTCCCATGTATAAGGCTTTTCACGATCTTCTTGTGGCAATCCTCCAAGGCATAAGTTCCGATCGGAGCTGCCATGATAACCTTGTATGGTCCATACCATTTCGAACGGAATTTTCGAGGGTTCTCATCCCATACGAGAACATAGGTGCCAACCTTTATGTCTGGCTTTGGAGCGAACTGCTCGTCTCGTACAAGGGATGCTTTGATTGCTGCCTCAACAAGCTTCTTATTTGCGTTCACTCGAGCTTCGTTCGAACATGCATGTCATTTGATTATCTTCTGTACTCTGTCTTCCTCTGAGCCATTATAGGCTTCGTACGAATCTCCTGGTAACTTTGGATTGACTCCGTAGAGGAGGTAAAACGGGCTGTACTTGCTTACAGCATGAATACGGAGTCGAGTAGCAAAGACTGCTTGTGTAAGGTATTCATCCCACATCCGTACGGGCTTTCCATATAGATATTTCGTTAACATTGCCCCAATAATTCCATTGAATCGTTCGATCTTTCCATTCGTTTGGGGGTGGTAAGGGGTAGTTGTTCGGTGTTTAACCTTAGTAGGCTGTAGGAACGTTTCCATAGCCTCTGAGACAAGGTTAGTCCCATTATCCGTTAAGATCTCGTTCGGAATTCCATAGACAGCGAATATATCATGATGTATGAAGTCCATAACTGATTGTGTAGTTGCATCCTTTAATGCCTTTACTACAGGCCATCCTGTAGATCGTTCGATAGCTGTTATAATCCAACAGTTACCATTATACGTTTGAGGTAATATTCCTATCAAGTCTATTGACCATTGATCAAACAAGCGAATACTCTCTCGTTCGAGGGTATTTCGGGGCCCTCGTACGACATTGGTACGAGCGCCCTTTGACACTTGACAAGCCGGACACATCTGTATCTGATTTTGGACATCACGCTCTATTGTAGGCCACCAAACTCTATTCTGTAGAGCTCCATTTAGGCCTGGCCAACCCAGGTGTCCGTAATCCCGATGTGCTCGTTCGAGGTATACCTTCCGAAATATCGGAGCAAGGTATGCCGCTTGTCCTGTCTCTGTTTTCTTGTATAAGAGAGTATCTTTCTCTAATACAAAACTAGATGGCGGGTGATTCTTATCATCTAGAACCGCCTTTCGTAGTTTTTCATTCGAAGGTTCTTCCTTCGTACGAAGATATTTTATGAGAGCTTCCTCCCATTCATCCTCATCCACTGAGCGGATAGAATTGAACTGCGACTGGTATGCTTCACCAGTGCCAATAAAGTCAGGGCGGCGACTAATTGCGTTTGGAACTATAGCCTCTTTTCCAGGCCTATACTGTATGTCAAGATCATACGTTCTGAACTCAGCAATCCAGTGGGCTAGACGTTTTGATGGAACCTTGGTATCCTTGAGATACTTCAAACTCTCATGATCCGTAATGATCTTCGTTCGAGTATGATTATCAATATAATAACTCCACGTTCGGAGGGCGTGCTTTATAGCTAACAGCTCTTTCTCTTGAACTGCATAGTTAAGCTCAGCTCCTTGTAGCTTCCGACCATCGTACGCAACTGGGTGTAACAAGCCATCTGTTCCTAATTGTAGCAAACAGCACCCTATTGCCCATTCCGAAGCGTCTGTTTCAATCACAAACGGACGGTGGAAATCAGGTTGCGTAAGGATAGGTTCGTTCGAAAGCGCCTTCTTCAGGAGTTCGAACGAAAGCTGATACTTTGCTGTCCATATAATAGGGCGGTTCTTCTGCTTCCGTTTCTCTGGATCTTCCTCCTTCAGCAGGTCGCTTAAGGGCGCTGCTATGGTAGCAAAGTTCCGTACGAAACGCCTATAATAGGAGGCGAGACCAAGGAACTGTCGGACTTCATGTACGTTCGAAGGTGTAGGCCACTCTTCTACTAACTTTGTCTTTGAGACAGCTGTTCGGAGCTGTCCTTGCCCTACAATGTGTCCACAGAATTCAACTGTCTCTACCCCTACTATACACTTGCTTGGTTTTGCATATAGCCTGTTCGTACGAAGACTCTTGAGAACCAAGGCTAGATGCTCTTTATGCTCCTCGTCCGAATTTGAGAAGATGATAATGTCGTCAAGGTATACCATAGCAAATTTATCCAAGTAGGGCTGTAGTATAGTATTCATCATCGTTTGAAATGTAGCGGGGGCGTTCGTAAGTCCCATAGGCATCACTAGGAATTCGAACTTGCCTTGGCGAGTGTTGAAGGCTGTCTTATCGACACTATTTTGTGCCATCCGAAGCTGATAGAATCCAGAGAGTAGATCAAATTTGCTTATCCTTTTTGCAGCCCCTATTCGATCGAGGCAGTCTTGGATGCGTGGTAAAGGATAGGTGTTCTTCTTCATAACAGCATTTAAACCCCTGTAATCAATGCACATACGCCATTTCCCTTCTGGCTTCTTCACAAATAGAACAGGGAAGCCCCATTCACTTGAGCTCGTACGAATTAGGCCTTTATCCAAAAGGTCCTTAATCTGCGTAGCTTGCTCTTCAGCTTGCGTATATGAAACAGGATATGCAGCCTGATTAACAGCCCTTGCATCCTCAACATCGATCGAGTGTTCCCATTGTCTCTTAGGTGGTAACGATTCTGGGAGTTCCGAACGGAAGCAGTCTTGGTACTCTTCTATCACCGTTCGAAACTGGGTTGGAATATCCTTTGGTAATTCGTCCGAAGCTTTTCGAACAAAATACATTAACCCCTGGGAGCCCTTCGTTCGGAGTGCCTTCTTGACATGTCGGGAGGTAATTAGATTGAGGCCAGCGTCTTCTATCGTTCGAGCTGGGCGCTCCAACTGTAACCTATGTGTTCCCTTACGGTCTTTCAGTGTAACTTCCGAACGGGCCCAATTTATAGTTGGGTTAGCTGATCGAAACCATGTTAATCCTAAGATAACATCATAACTCGGTATATCCATAACTGTTGCAGTTATCGATATTGTATAGGTGCCGATTCGTACGAACAATCGTATATATTCGTTCGAGGTAACAGCACCTCCGTCTGGTAGGTCGACTCTTGTGGTCTGCCCTTGTTTTATTTCCCCTATCTTTATCGCAACCCTTCGTGCAACATACACTCAGTCTGCTCCGCAATCGAGAAGCATTTTCAAGGTCTGAGGCTGGCCCTGTAGGGTCTCTCCACTCACAACCATCGTGCTACTTCCGATCGAATTTAAGGAACCAAGGCATTCGCTCGAAGCAGCTTCGCTATTATCCTGTTGCTCATCGTTCTCCGTCGTTGGATATTCGTACGGGCTTGAGGCCTCCTGTAGCGCATCACCTAGCTGGCCTTGAAGGTCTAGGGATGCCACTAGTTTTCCGGATCCTGTCGTCATTGTCCGTTCGAACCCCCTTTTCGTCCTGAATCCTTCGTTCGGGTACAGTTCCGTGAGATATGCTCTTTATTGCTGCAATTAAAGCAAGCCTTGTTCTCTCGACACCATGTCTTAAATCCAGCAGGGTCATTCTTTGCACTTGGCATATTAGATCCCATTCCGTAGTTCTGCCCTTGGGATTCGTTCGAAGACTTCTGTAGCTGTTTTACTCTAAATAGAGCTCGATCGACGTCGTCAGCTTTATTGATGTAGGAGTCTAGGTCTCGGATATCCCCATGGTTCTCTTCCATCTTCGCACGTATATCCGTTCGAAGGCCTGTCTGGAACCTCCGGAGAATCTCATATTCTGTAGGAGTCAGATCAAGGAAGAGGACCTGGTGCTTCAAGGAATTCGCGGACTTCGTCTGCTTCATAGCTTCGTACTTCTCTCGACGCCTTTCAATCGAATGGATATCACCAAAGGCTTGCTGTAGCTCATTGCAAAGCTGCTGTGCATTTATAGGAGCTTGTCGGCTTGTAAGCCTTCGTTCGATTTGGAATTGAAAATTCGTCCACCATGTCAACGCTGCACCTTCAAAGTATTGTGTAATATACTCAACAGCTTGAAGGGGCTCAACATTCGTTCGAGTAAGCTTCTCAAAGCGAGTAAGAAAGCTAAGCATATCCATGCACCATTGTTCGCAGGCTCCGTTCTTTCGTTCGCCACTATACTTGCGGGGCTCTTTCAAAGGTAGCTGAGCCTTTACCAGCTGTTGCGATGGCAGTATTCCGAACGAAGGATGTCCTCCGAACGTAGGCTGGGTCCCGAACATAGGCTGGGTGTTGTATGTAGGCTGTGGCTCGAACAATGGCGTTGTTGGTAGGGGGACCTCTGTAGGAATAGCCCCTGACGGTGTTTCGTTCAGTGACGACTCAAGTGCTTCCGAACGGATATTTAAGAGTCGCTCCTCCATTCTAGCAAACTGGGCGTTCAGTCTCTCTTCAAAGGACTGAAGCATTTGAGCAGTTTGGGTACTCATATCATGGATCCGAGTGTTGGTAATCTGCTCAACTGTCTGCTGTAGCATAAGGCGATCTTGTTCGGACATTCGTACGAGCTGTGAGTCTCCGTTCGACATATTGCAAAGTGATAATTTCTGATAGGGGTTTGGTTTTGAAGTTGGTTCTCAGGTTTGAATGCTTCACTATTGCAGATGCAATTCTCACCCTATACTCGTATTTCGGCACGATCGTACGAACCTCGGCTATTATCGTCACATTCCTCCTCTTCTTTAATTAAGGGGTTCATTACTTCCCTTATTAAGTAAAGAGTGTGGTGATAGTGCGGTTCTTGTGGGGCTCCGAACGAAAATCCTGCTCCTTAGCAATCTTTCGTTCGAAGCCCTCGAAGGATCCAGCTAGAACTGGGCTCCTTTTTCAAGCAATTGCTACCAGATGTGATTTTCCGAGCGCGAACCAAACTTGTAGAATTCAATGGGGCCACGGCCTTTACTTATGCCGTCACCCCTAAGCTACTCTACCATACGAAACTACACTAATATGACTACCTTAGGGGGGTTGGCCCATTTTTCGATTCCATTGGACAGGATTTATCGTAAAAAATGGTCTAATACCAATATACACCATGCTACGCAGCCAATCTATTGGCTGCGTAAGCTGTACCTAGCTACATATTCTATTGCCAAGCCTATTGTGGCACTATTCCCACTTGGCACTATTCCAACAGCCAATCATAATATATAAAGGAACACGCTTACACAATAAGGTAGTAGTAGACACTATGCTAGGAATAGTATTGAAACCAGGGTTACACTAACAGCGTTAATAAATAGACACCTGTATAAGAGACAATTGTCAGAGTTAAATAATCCCAAAAATAAACACGTGACACATTGGCAAAATACACGTGATATATGGTCAACTCTATTATTACGAGGGTATAATTAAGGAGACAGTGTTTATATTATACTAATGAAGCAAATACTATATTATTATAACCCCTCCTCGAATACGTCTTGTAAACTACGTCTACTGCTATAAGCACCGTTGGTATCGTCGTCGTAGTGGTCATCGTCATCGTCATCGTCATTCTCATCATCCATAAATTGCTCAGGCCTGTCGTTACTACTTCCATCCTCGTCTGCCGAACCCCAGTCAATGTCATCCTTTAGTGTTCCAATAGATTGCTGTGCAATCTGGTCGTCTATAAGGGGCATTTTCCTCCGTCGTCCATACATATCCTTGAACTTCAATCGTTTTGGGCCGATATTAGTATGCTGGTTTCTTGGGTAGGCATCAAACCAGTTGAGGAGCACCTGTCTGGGTACCCCATTCCGAACACCATGGTTCTGTTCGAAGTCAAGGTGGAGCTTTACCTTTACAGCTAGTGACACAAACCAGTCTAATATAGTTAGCACAAAACAGTAACCACTTATAAACAACGTACATTTAATCCAGAACGGGCCTGGAGCAATTGACGCTGTTCCGTTAGGACGCAGTTCACTTGACTCAATCCTCTCGTAGAACAGTATATATCGACTTGCCCAGCAAAAGACACTCTCTGCATCAACAACGCTGTAAATAGACTCGAACACTTCAAAGAGTCGAGATAGGTCTTGTTCATTCAGCAGAAACGACATGGATGGTTTTGTAAGGGTTTTACCAACCCATTCCTGTACATGTTCAGACAAGCTACTATATTTTGGGTTGGAGGGTCATACCATCATGCAGGTAATAGTCCGGTGCTTCCAGGTATTTGTATTGCCTCTTGCTTTATAGAGAGCCTTGTCTCGAAGCGCAAAGTTCTCATCGAAGTCAACAGATAGTGTAACGTCATTTACTATAGCCTCAAGCTCCTTGTCTGTTGCTCGCCCATATCGGAGGGTAAGTCGTCGTATTTCAGGATCCAACTTCTTCCTGATTTGTTTCCACGCATTGTTGTCAAAGAGCTTCGTCTGGCTAGCTGACCGTTGAAATGGTCCCATAGTGCTATTATGGGAACTGTGGGTGTATTGCTTAGTATGCTTTGCAGTAGGTCGACAGGCTAGTAATGAGTTGGTAGATCCAGTAGAATTACTACTTCTACTACTCTGTTGAAGCGTAGATGCAACAGTGTTTCGACAGTTGTTGTTCGACCGAAGCTGTTGAGTCAGGTCCAAATGACCATTCTCAAAGGATAGCGTAGTATCTGGCTGGGTAGGGAGTTGAGAGGAGGCCGCATTCATTAACCCCCCCTGGACACGCTCAGTTTGAGACATTGAGGGGCTAGTTGTATTGGGTGTATCGTGTTGTAGTAACTGCAAGGTAGGTGAATTCATTGATGTCAACGGGGCTCCTTGAACAACCGAGTCTGGAGAATGCTGGCTTTGGGACAACCCTGGACTATTTGAGTCGCGTGGAAGGAGGTGGCCTAATCCATATGGGTATTGAGACCCAGAATTCCGAGCATTCTGTAGCTGGGAGTTTCCGTAGTTGTAATCCTCTTGGCTGTGGGCTTGCACTGCACCCTTAGCAATGCGTCTTGGTCGACGTGATGTCTTTGGCATAGTAAGGAACCTACAACCCAAGAATTAGCCTATCTTCTGTACATGTTCAGAGGGGGGCACAAACACTGATTGTATATTCTTATACACTCTGTAATTATACCATAATATATAGTAGTTTGAGAACACAGTATTGTGGTTGTACGTGTATATTTCCAAACACTCTATTACGCGTGTGTGGAGCAAATATATGTGAGCACGTGACCCAAGATGACTAACACAGTAGTATTATCCAACTCTGTATGCGGCTCTTACTATAATATAACCCCCGTATTCAACAGGAGGTCTTCAAGCAACATATAGTGAATCATAATGGACTTAAGCCCAGATACAACATATACAGCTGAGGATTTTGGCAATCCAAATCGTCGGCGAAGGCGCAAGTGGCCAACTTATAGTGCAAACCTTCGAAGACATGTTGCACATCGGACTACACAAATAGGCCAGGCAGAGGCTGTACGGAGACGACACCTGCAGCTTCCTATTCCTAATAATGAAACAAGTAGCATCCAAACCTGTATAATACCTCCCTCGCTAACATTAAACCAGCCAGAAGACTACTACACAATGTATGATAGTGACAGCAATAGTAGTCCTGCCTTTATCTCCAACGATCAACCGGCCAACACAGGATCTAATATGCCAATTATGGAGCCAGGCTCTTCCTATACATGTTCAAAGGACGCTCTTTATTGTGACGATTATAATAGCATGGCTATGGGGGACAACAGCTCGGATAGTAACTCTGTAGAGAGTGAAAACACTCCCAAGATTCATTTTACAAGCAATGAGGTCATTGATCTATCTGCACTGAACCCTCGCTCAGCGCCAGTATCTGACTTTACAATGGCATTCGGACTCTGGTGCGATACACACCGGGTTACCCGGCAGACTTATAAGGCTTTACTCCAAGTTTTACGACTTCTTCCAAATGAGGAGTTTCGACAGCTCCCAGAAAACCTTGCAACACTCCAAAAGTGGTGCCGTCGTCGCCTTCCTTTACTACCGCTCCAAAGATCAGTTGTTGATGTCCGGATGGATAAACAGCCATCAGGCAATGCAGCAACGTCCCAAAGCTATATATACTTCTTTGACCCGCGGGTTATCGCTGCCACTATACTATCATCAACACTCGGTCAGCCAATACACCAAGGAATGGCCGAGATTGTAGACAATCCATCCGAGTTTTACCATTCCCGTGCATGGGGCTCTTCAATTCGGACCTGTGGCAGCGACTTTGCCCTATATAAAGGTGGAGAGCCAATATTTCCCTCAGACTTTGTCCAGTATAAGTGCAAAAGTCAGACCTGTTGTAGCTCCACCTCCAAGCATACAGGGCAGGTAGTGTTTGTTGGGCGTGATAGACGGGAACTGTCTACTACTATCAATACAGTACTCCTTCATATCAGGCCTTTATTGCATCGGAACGACATACTATACCAGTCCCGTGGACTACAGGAGGAAATTAGAAAGCTGTCAACAAGTGAGCGCATTATTGACAACGAGGGTTTAGTCTGGGTCCAGCCAAACCAGGTATTACACCGTCGACCCGATATTAGCATCCAGTGGGGTGATGGTACTATACGGACACCCTGGGCAGTTACTAAGATCTTTACCAAGGCCCATGGCATCGTTGATATCCAGAAGAGTAAACCAATACGTGGGGGGCTAGAGATTAAGCAATACGGCCGAGAGTACCTTATGGCTACAGTTATGGCAGGAGTACTGTCACTGCCCCTCATTATGTTTATTGACGATTTTGGACTATACCGCAACATGTACCGCTCAGTTACTGGAGTATATATGATGCCAGCTGGGCTTGGTATTGAGCAGCGACAAAGGAGCATGAATAGTCATACTCTAACCCTTGGGCCCCATGGTTCTCAGCTTGATGCTACAGTATCGGTCCTCCGAACATGTATAGGGGCCCTTGAGCGTGGAAGCCCAATGGTTATTAGAGGAGTAAAGACAGTAGTATGGGCCCCGTTCATTACTATTCTAGGTGATATGAAAGGGCAACAACAGTCAGCTGGTTTTCTTTCCCCAAGGGCTAACCTCTGCTGTCGGTTCTGTGATGCAAGCCTTGATACAAGGGCTGATCTCAGAAGAGATATTGCACGCCATGGTCGGTTCCACTACCAAGTACAGGACCTACGCATGCAGATGGATAAACTTACCTCAAAGTCAACTCGGTTACAATTTGGTCGCCGACATGGGTTAGCTGACCAGCCATCTGCCTTACAGTCTGTAATACCAGCACTTGACATTATTATAAGCCGCCCCCCGATCCAGCACACAGTGAGTTCCTTGGTATCGTTCGGAGACTATATCCAATATTATATGGGCCATTGCTAACTCCAGTTGCCCAGGTTGAGTTTACTAAACAGTTCCAGACATATACGTTCCCGCCTGGCTGGAGTCGAATCCAATCGCCAGAGAAGCACATACGGTCCTGGTCAATGAGCGAGTGTGGGAAGGCGTCAATTATCGTGCCATTAATACTTCGCGGTTGGCTAAAGACTATCCATATACGGCATACGTTCCAGCTAGCCCTTGCCCGCGAATGTCCAGTGACACACCGGCCTATACATACCAGAACTGATGTAGATTTCATTGTCCGTGCCTTTGGTCATATTGCACGGAGTAATTCCTTCGTGTCCTCAACTAGCCTCACGAGTAAGGAGTGGCTAGAATTCCACAATGTCATATTGGAGGGGAGAGCTAGTTTTTTATGTCTTATGAAAGCTGCAGCGAAGTCGTCAGAGAGTGTAGAAACTAGACAACCTTCTCGTAGTAGGAGAAGCCCTGCGCTGTCTATCCCTCTATACTCGAATAGTTACGTCCAAAGTGGTTCCGATACTGAGACAAGTACGGACGACCAAGGCAACAATACTCAAGATAGTTCTTGTATTCCTGGTTATGCAGGCAGACTTCCGAATTACCATATTGCGTTACATT